TTCCATCAGCCGATAAAACATACGTCAAGACTATTTAGGTCGAACTTAACTATAAGCGAAAAAACATTCGGAAAAAAATTAAACAGTCAAAGTTTTTAAAATCAGAAACCACAACAAAGAATCAAATAACACTTTCGACCAGTACTTTCGCAAGTAGAACAGAATGTTCCGACCACATTCTCAGAAAAGTGTCATTTTTTTTCGAGTAACACTTTTTTTGTACGTCAATTAACTATAAGAACGCATAGGAATTTAGTGAATTTGGCATTAACGAATTCAATTGTCTTCAGAAATCAATCAACAAAAAATGTCATTTTTAGCAGAGAAAATTTTTAATAAAATTGAAAGTTCTCTGTTGCCAGAAGCGCTAAGTGGAGCGTCAAAAAAAACTAACTTTCTTTTCATTATACTCAAATTTTTTAATCCCAATTGCTAATTGTTATATATAACGAACGTTCCTCGAGCGTTTAACTAGCTCTAAAATGGACGCAAAACCAAAAAATGCTGTTTTTCTTGAGACTGGAAAAAACTTTGGAAATTTTTAAAGGTCATTCAACACACAACTGAAGGGCTTTTTTAAATTGTGGCACCTGCTTTTGCGTGACAAAATACCTAATTTTGGGTGAAAGTTCAATCGCCGGAACAATTACAATGAAAATATCTGAAAACTCAACAAAGGTTAAAATGTTGCCGTGTTTAAGCAGACAAACCATAAGCAACAGCCGATAAGCCCATCATTTTTCAAATTAAAAAAAAACATTAGCCTGAACTGAGTTTTAAATGAAATGTGTTCAAAATTTTTTCAATGTTTTGCAATAAAAATTTTGAAACTTTCAAGTTTTCTTTTGACAGAGAAGCGCGAAATGCAGCTTCCAAAACTAGTTTTCCTTTCAAATTACTCAGTTTTTTAGCACAAATTGCTAATTTTTATATACAACACACGTTCTTCCCGGTTACCGCCCCACGAGTGTCAGTGTCAAAGTGATAGCTACGAAAAATATCTACCTAGAATCAGCCCTACAAACAGTCAGTGACCGTCTGTTCTTGTTTGGCATACCTCCACGACTCCCCCTGAGGAGGGGAAATAACTCCTGCAAGATCACGAGCTGCCTCGACATTGCGCTCTGTTTAACGTCTGATTGAGCAAAAAGCCGGGAACAGTGACTGGTACTTTAGAGGTCTCTCAGTCATTGTCTACTGCGAACAGCAAATCTAGGAGACAGATAACGTGAATCTCAAAAAACAGCTCTAAACAGACTTCGATTGATCTTAATCAACCGAATATTGTACGAAGATTTCTCGAAAGATAGCAGTCAATTACGAGCCAAACGAGTTTCAGTGTTCTCTTCAGTTCGGTTGCTTCCATGGTGCCTTTACCGGTTAAAGCTTAGCACCTTTTTTCCTTTATATTCCGAATTTCTTTTGACTGGCATCAGGTCACCTCTCGTCAGGTTTCATTGTCAATTAAGTCTGTAAACGTAGCGTAAATTTTAAGATCATTCATCCACGAGGGATAGGACCAACATACGAGCTGTACAGCTCATCACGGCGAACCGCTGTTGTGCCCCTGCTTAAGAACTACATGCAATTTTTTTTGGTTATTTTTCTGGGCTGGGTAATGTTGCCTCACCCTCAAGCAACGAGCACGGATCATGGTGGGCCTCGAACATCCGACCTTTCGATTGAGAGGCGGAGACGTAACCACTTCACCACTGCCCCCCAAATTCGGATCGAAAAAAATCTTCACAACAATTTCAAAACGAATAACGATCGAATATAAACTAAATAATCAATTACAGCAAACATGAGAACCGAGCAAAAGTAAGCAATCGCAATTGCAAAACGTGCACTGACACAAAAGACAAAAAAAACCGCTGTTTACTTGCATTGCAAGCGGAGAAATCAAGCACCTAACAAAAAGAACTGGTATGAACCAGCAAGCTATATTGGCGTACTATCAAAAATAATTATCATGCTGACCTGTCAAGAAATTTTTTTTATATTGGGCCAATTTTATAGAGCTCGAGACGTCATCTTTGAGGTCAAGATATAGAAGAACTTAAAACAAGTGAAGGTCAATAACCTTAGGTCAAAGTTAGAAACTTTATCAATTTTGAAAGAAAAATAACTTTGCGACCTGTCTGGGATCTGGGCATCGAAAGCAATATCGACATTCTGTTCAACAAACATAATTAACAGACGATTTACCAGAAGAATCACTCTTCCTAAACTAGCACTCTTCCTGCAGAGCGAGCAACAACCAGAAGACAAAACACGATTGAGTGCGCAAAGGTGTCATGAACATACCGGACGAAAAACTTGAACTTGAAAAAGATTTTGTAGCCATCGAGATCAAACAAGAAATATCAATAATAGTCTGTTGTCTGCTCAACTCACCAGAGACAAGACAGTACAGATGGAAAGACCAGTTGTTAAAAATTCATTGACTACCTCAACGAAAAGGCAATGCAATAGTCATCATTGGTGATGTTAATTTCGATTGTGCTAATTAGAGAGATTTCATATCAAACGACAAATACGAAAATGATGCATTAGAAAGTTTATCGGAGCTATAATTTATCGAGTTGCTAGAGCAAAAATGCAAAAAGCAACTCGACAGTTTCCTTAAAAATCCAAACATTATTATTAAAACGAAAAAAAACATAGCTCGGATCATCAACCATACATCGTGTCATTACAATGCGAAATCAAGTCTAAAACAGAGCCAAAGAGACAAAAGTATGCGTTTAGGAAAGTAGACTGGCAACACCTAAACAACTTCATTGTAGAGATTCCACTTCAACCATACCTCTTCAGTAACGGCGTCTAACTATTAAGACAGTGGTATAAATGGCTCGAGTAGTGATTAAATGATAATGTGATCAAAAACATTCTCACAGTAAAAAAAATTGCCTTATCTCACAGATCAAAGTTGTTTCAATGGAAAAAAGCAAAATCTCTCACCTTTTGAAAAAAACTTTAATCGGATGCTAATGTATAGTCGTGGACTTCCATGTGCAATTGCGGACAATGTAACCCAATTCAGAAATTCATCTCAGCTGTGAAGTGACGAGAGCGAGCCCTAGATCAGATGCTGATCGAAAGCCTAAACTACTACTACTACTTTAGGTTAAAAAAACAATTGCTCACAAGATTCGACCCAAGGCCCTGAGCCGTTTACCAGCTTTCGTATCAGTGATTAGAATTAAATTTTCAATTGAGCATGTTTGCTGCAGAATTGATTGCTGCACAAATGATTCAGTGATTTTGTTCAACTAATTGTTAACACGAGTCAATAATCTTCCTTGATAACGCTCGCTAAAGGCAAGCGTAACAAGCATTTAAGTTGAAAGCAAATCTGCTTTTTGCGCGCAATAAAAACCCTTCTCGATTGAAACCAGAACAGTCCACATATTTGACTGACAGATTATTGTTTTCATATGAGCACATCTGTTTACGACCAAAATAATGTAAACGAAATTTGTCGAAGGATGTAGAAACCATGCAAAAACGGCTCTTGTTAACTGCTAACCGAGCACGATATCTTTTTTGCACTTTTTTTTTCTAAACAAAGTATTAGTTATTTATTTCACAGGCAATTTTCCCATTAATTGCTTTGAAAACAAGCACATTTTTCCTACTTCAGTAGTCGTTTTTAAGTCAGCTGGGATGTCTCTAGCTTGGTTTGAAAAAAACTAAAGCTAAAATTAAATTCTAGTCAATGCCACTCGTACGGCCACGTTACATTTTGTGGCCTAACGAAAGCGGAAAACAGTTGATAATAAAAACGCAATTTAAATTAATTTAACGAAAGAATGTAAATGGAATTAGATTAGGATTAGAACTATTTTCGATTATCATCCCAATTGAGATTCCGATTAAAGGTGAACAACAAAAACTAGCCGATATACAAAAAATGGCAAAGATCAGGATCGAATCTAGCCAAAAGTTTCGCTATTTGCTTTAAAATCTGCAATGTCTTTAATCCTTAAGCAATACGGACCACTTTTATACAGCAGCTAGTTTATTTACCACACGTTACTAACCATACATCATAATATCGTTAACAAAATGGAGTCTTTCCTTTGGATGCCATTTTTGATGTCACAATTTAAGTCATAAATTGACATTTGAATGAACCTTTAAAAATGTTCAAATTACTATATAAACCCAGATTAGTCAAAAATTACCTGATTAGTTGAAAAATATGCAGTTACCTTCGTATTAACATCAACTGGAAAGCCCCATATTAAATAATCCCTCACAATACAGCAACCTATTACGTACTCTGCATGTGAAGAGCAGAGAAAAACAATAGCCATAAGTTATAATATCACTCATTTCTTGATCTTCGCTTATCGAATTCAAAAACAAACAAACACTTTTTGAACTTTATTGATTCAGTGCAAAGAATCAAACCTGATGACACAACTGCATATTAACACATGACAATATGGCCTCGTTTCAGCGCTAAATTTTTTCCCATTATCGAAACTTTTTCCGCAAAAAGAGTAAGTTCAAAATTCACTCATTCAAACTTTGACTGATTGCAAGACGTTTCTTATTTACGCCTTCAATAAACTTATCTTGAATCTGTTAATTTTTCAAAGAAAAAAGCTCAGGAAAAAACGCGATAATGTTTGATTTTTAGGTAAGCACCATAAGATTAAATTGACTCGATTGAACATTGCAAAATTTCTATCACACAATTTCTATTCACGTTGTAATTAATCAATCTAAACTAGGCAAGAAAAGTGAGCAATAATCCTTCACATGAAATCTCGATTCAATAACGACAACTTCGTCAAATTCGTCAGCTCTTTTCCTTGTTTCTATCTTGGCAGTTTCTAGACATTAACTGCTTAAAATGAGTTAAAACATCCTCATTTAAAAGCCTTAAATCTTTTAATAAGATTACTTTTCCCATTTCAATTTTGAGCAACTGAAAAGCAAGAGATACTAATGTATAACTTACTTTTAGTAAGCGGTTAAATCCTGCCTCAAAAAGTTAAAAACGCACCACAAAAAACTCGATTGCAGTTAAGATAATGAAAAAGAAAAAAGCGAATTTTGACAAGTTATCAATCAGTTGGTATGGAAACACGGAATTATTTCAACACTTGAGTTACAATGGTGCGGTTATTGATAACTAAACAGTCAAATAAAAGGTGATTTTTCTAGTGTTTTGACTATTTTTATTGCTAAGAAAGAAAGACGATTGGTATTTGGCTGGTACAATTAGCTCCTGATTACCTAACATTAGGAATCTTTTACTCGATGTACAAACAAATTTGCTGAATTTTCAAACAGAAATATACAATTATCATATTCCTTCAAAACTTTTTAAGACAGATTAGTTTGTAACACGATTAGACATCAATCCATTTGAGTGCTCAAATGAATTTTAATAGAAAAAAAAACTAATTATCATTTGTTATCCTTTTGTGTAACATTGACACCTGAAAAGATTCCATTTCACGCTTTCTTACTTTTAATGCACATGAAAAAATTGGGAGCGAAATTTAGCAGTAACTTGCTATTGGCATCGAGTATTTCAAATAAGGTCCGAATTGCGAAAGGAAACTAGTTAGATTCGGTCTCAGAACAGCAGAAAAAGCGTAAGCACCCGTTCAAATCATTCTACCAAAAAACAGGGCGAAACTTATCCAATGGGCACATTTTGGTCTGATTTAAGATTCGATTGCCATATGTTGCAATTTAATAGAAAGTAAGAGCTTATATGTCAGTAAAATATTCAATTAATAAGCGAATGTTTTGAAATCAGAAACCGCTTATCATGCAGGGTTCGGCTATTTCAATTTTAACAACTGTTCGCCAGAACTTAAATGAATGGGTGCTTAAAAAATCAAGTTAGATCAGGTTAGAACAAGTTTGATCAACCACAGGCTTGTCTCGTTTTTTAACCAATCACGGATTGGTAGTCACTTTGCAAATCAGCCAATCACAATTCATCATTCACACTCGCTGAGCCAATCAAGCTCTAGATGCAAAATCACTCATGACTCGTTTATGCTTCGCGCTTCGAGTTTGACTTGAATTTTGCGTATTGGAATTACTGCAATAACTCATTTTTCTCGCGTGCGATCCAGCGTGAGATTTCATCGAAGAATGAAATTTACTTTTTTGGTCGCCCGGGGCTACTATAATAGTCGGCAATGAGTGTCGTACAGTTAGAAGTTCGTAATCTTTTCTCCTAGCAGGCGGGAACTTATAATTTGAAGCTGCAAATTGGTTGGTATTGTTAACAACTTGGGTATTATTGCTCTGCATCGGTTTAGTGGGCCCTACTTTTGACGACCCGGGTTCGGGGGATCTTCTGGAAGCTTTCGGACTGGTCTTATCATCTGATTTTGAACTACAACTTGACCTACTACGACCAATTTTTCGCTCATCTTCATAAGAAACATGATTCGTTTTTCCTTTTCCATTTAACACTCCAACTGCTGTTGTGTTTTTCATAGAATCATTCACATCATTGGACATTTCAACTGTGCTTTCATTTTCAGGCACCTGTGATAAGCTTCTTGCGCTATCGCGCCCCTCTGGTGATTTTTGGTACTCAAATTGTAAATCACTTGTGAATTGTATTGGCACTGGTGATGAACCCTGAGATGAATGTCTCGCTCCATTTGGATGTCCTCCGCCTAAATTTAGAAAATTTAACCAACTTCCTTTTTCTAAAATGCTTATGCAGGGAAGATTTCAGTTACCCGTTGTTTCCATTGAACGTTAAGTTCAGATTTGGCAGGATGTTATCGAGAAAAACAAAAAAAATGGGTCAATCATTGCCCCCAATTGAAATTTTCGAAAGCCGTTGAAAGTGGAGCAAGGTAAAAATCGACTTTGGGAACATGCAGGTACGCAGGGTATCATGTTCTTTTCATTGGTACCACTATTTTGAAAATTGGTCAAAACAAATTCGCGAGGATAAAATTTTAGCGAAAAGTGCAAAAATCTTCCAAAGCATCTCAAAAAAATCATAAAAAAACCAAATCCCTGACATTTTCATAATACCAATTTTTATCAAACAGGAAATAGCCACCAATAAATCAGATATAAAGATATAATGCTTGTCAAAAGTGTCACCAAATAAATAAGAATTTTATTTGCGACTTAGTTTGGAAAAACGGATACCATTTTATGACAGTATTCTACGCTGAGGTTAGCATATTTATCAGCTGTATGTCAAAACTTCAATACTGCATCTTTAGCAGTTGCAGAGAAAACAAGAAAAACGTAAAGCAAGAACAAAATTTTCAATGTGTTTCATCGAAAATACTAGGTACACTTAAGAAAACTTACCAGAATCTTGAGGTCGATTTAGAGACGATACTATAGACCCAGAACCCTCCCGTTGTGCATCAAAATCCGAAGACAAAGTCCTCACTCGTGTATTACTGAACGAACTATTGTTCACACAAGGAACAACTGCATTTGTTGAAGTTGCATTTTGTTCATCTTTGTTCACGTTTACAGTGTGCGAAAAGAAAGTTCGTTGCAGATACTTCCTGTTTTCTTCCATTTTCGCCTCGTTTAGCGGGAAAAAATACATGACTATTCCGAATAGAAGCAGTAAAAAAGTGGGGCAAGCTGCGCATATCACACGCAGAGCCATGTTCACCGATTCGTTTTGGTCGCATTTTGTCGCATCGTAGTCGAGCACCTAAAACATTTCATTTTACGTTTTATGCCATTAGGTGGTCCCACGATTCTTCCATATAATGTTTCCATGACAATGATGATATAATGTACAGCAAAATTTTAATTTAATCTGCACGGCGTGACTGTTTTCTTTACGAAGTGACTTTCTGAGTTTTTTCTGATATTTCCCACCCATCGGGGCAAAAAAAAACGTCAACGAAGGTCCATTTGGAAATAGTGCGAATAATGTTTGTTCTTACTTTGAGAGTGATCATGGTTCCGCCAGTGACACAACCAGCAGCTAGTTTGGAGAGAAAGACGAAGAACCCATAGAAGATGCTCTCGTTGCGCTGGTTGAACTCAACAGTGTACGCGTCAATCACGTCCGGAAGAAGAACCTACACAAACAGAACAGAACAGACAACATGAGATTTGAAATAGTTAGCCTTGAACTTCATCTGCTGCGAGAAGGCTCTGTTATGTAGTCTCGGTAAGTTCACCCCTCCCTCCATCCAACACGGTCAACATATAATTGACCCTACAGTTGAAGAATCAACGTACAAGTTACCGAAAATATAGATTAAAGGTATATTCAGGAAAAATAACTAGATTAATTAGATAATTAGCTTCACAATTTACAGGGAAGCTATTGATACCTTTCACACTTTATAAAACTACTATCGGGATCGTTGAAGAGAACCGAAGTACAAAACTACCGAAAGCAAAAAGTTCCCGCAATGATTTGTTTCTGGAATCAATTAGTTTTTCAACTATCGAATCGGGTTAACTTCGGAAGCAGTTAAAAGTCAATTCAATATTGGCCAAATACTAAATCAGCAGACAATAATGCAATCAAGCTGATACCTGTTGCGAGCTTGCCAGAGCCGAAACACGATATATTTATGAAAGATCCAGGCGGTTATCGGCGCAAAGCGGGCCATCTGCCAGACAACTGGTATTTTTTTTACCAGTTGCCCACCGCCCGGCAACTGCAAGACGAACTCACCGCGAAAGATTTTTTGCAGCCAGTCAATTTTGCTTTCGGTTTTCTGTATAAAACTTTCAAAAAAATATCAATATGCCACTGTTTACTAAGATTCTGATTCGTTAGAGGTTTACCATCATACGATCCCTATATAAGAATAGACACTAGGTGAAACACTGCGAGCGACCAATGCCCCCGAGCTTCGAAGGTTCCAGTCAGTCAACTGATATAAGGCTTTAATGCATGTCATCCTTGATTGCTTAGGCACCCTGATAGGCCAACACCAGCCCCCACACCCCTCGATAAACGTGAGTTAAAATGGCCAACAGACAGTTGGAAAAGAGTCAATAAACGCAAAGAAACAGAAAAAAAACAGCCTTTTTTGTTAAAAACTTCAACTTTCGAGTTTCAAAGAAAAAAATTTCTAGCCTTAAACCTCTTTAAATTTCGGAAAATTTTAATCCGCTGGGAAATCTTTAACTTACATTCCACTTTCGAAACTAGAAATCAATCACGTTTTTTTCTCGCCATTTGCTCTTTTGTAATTGGAGAGCGAATTTTGCCTTCCTTATAGCAAATTAACTTGATTTGAACTCAAAAAGGCATATACGCCTAAAGATTTCATAGATGCATTAATATGCATGAATGCACTTCTGTAAATACTAGAACATTTCCTGAAAGAAAAAAAATGATCAAAAAATTATTGCATAGGCTTAGAAATTCATTTGTGAAGCTATTTGTAGTGATACCGGGAGCTCATAGAAATTGACCACAGACCGATTTAGCAAAGGAAAAATACTTTTTTTAAAACTATTTCACAGATCTTTTAAAGCATTTTTTTTTGCAAAATTTCCTGATTAATTTTTATAGTTAAGGGCTAATAGGCTCCAAAAAACTGCAAGCTGAGATGTAATATTTTGTCTAAAAATGCAGAGTTGCTCTCAAAATCCAAAATAAATATAGCCAATAGACAGTTAAAAAGTGGCAAAGAAAACAATAACTCGAGACAGATTATTTTTTAAGCCTTAGAGCTCTTCTAAATTCAAGAATATTTTGAGCTTCACGTATTTTTTTAAAATCAAACTAACTCTTTTTTATTCCGCTGGGAAACCTCTAAATTAAAGTCCATTTTCATTTTTTGTGCGATTTAAAATTCTGTTATTCAATAGTCTAATTTGCCTTTAAAAGCAAAGGAATTTGAATTGAACTTACAAACCTAGCCAACTGACAGTTGGAAACGAGTAATGAACTCAAAAAAAAACAGACAAAAAAACGGACTTGTTTTTTGAAAGATTTCACCCTTCGAATTTCGAAAGCTATAAAGGTTCCCAAAAGTGGCACCAATATTTGCGACTTAGGTTGGAAAAAAGAAGGTTCTTAACAATACACTCGCAAGTGTAAAAGATGGAAATGGACTAAACTTAAAAAATCACTAAAAAAAATAAAAATTAAGAGTGAACAAATTTTAAGACTTTTTCCAGATAAAAAAAATCACCAGGATCTATATAGTACTCACTACTTTCATTACTCGTAAAAACCCCACTGCGAAAAAAAAACAAATATGAGCGTGAACGAACTCTATGATTTTCCTGAAAGAAAAAATCAACAACTATATCAGGTCCTAGCGTTCATAGACACTTAAAAACAAATTTTTCTCGACACAGACAACTTTCTTGAATTTTTTAAGAAACCGAATCACGATTTTTTTTAATACCACACTTGACGGTCCTTCGGCTTTCTTGGATGAATCCAAAACCGGGCGAAAAAAAAAACACCTTTTTCCTTAGTGCAGTGATGGTAACAATAAAACTAATAATGGAGTTAATAAACAGACTGGCTGACTTACCCATGGAATGTAGAATCCGCACGCACAGCCAGGTCCAGTGATGACGGCGAATGCGATGAGGTAGGGGGTGGTGATGTCTTTGGTGATGACACTGAGCATGGAGAAGGCGGGCACTGTGATGGCCACCGCACAGAACGACACCTTCCGCTTCCCATATTTGCCTAACACACAATAAGTTTATTGTATTTTCAACTCAGGAAATCGAGATGCTTACTCAGAGGCCAGGCTAAACATTGCGTTAACAAGGGAAAATGGCAAGAAAAATCCAGAGAAAAAAAGATTTAGAAAAGAAAACATCGAAGACTATGAGATTCGAACCTCCAATGTGCTCTCTTTTTAAACCCCGGAATTAGAAACTGCTCACAATGTGAGACTCGCGCTGCCTCGTATTATAACACAAGCTGCCCTTGCGTAAAGTTGCGATTGAAATCTCTGCCAAAAACACTTACTTTGATCAACTTAAATGCTCAAAAAACCAACATTTCCTCACTTTTTTCAAACAGCGTCAAATTTCACATTCTACAAACATGTTATCTTGTGCATCGTCTGCGAATGAATTTTTGTAAGATTCAGTTAGACTCTAACGTAGAGCAGCCAAAATGGCGAGACTTCCTCCCTTGACGTAACCCATGCATGACGAAAACAGGTGAAAACTAATACAAAAATTGTTTTAATCAAAAATTGAAGTGGTTTTAGAAAAGTTACTTAATTGAAATCTTGCGTTGCAAGCTTGAGTTGAAAAAATAAATAATCAAAATGCATTACTTAATGCAAAGTATACCCACATCAAGAATAAATCACAGGAAAAAAGCAGTGTTTTAAGTGACATATGATAACACCAATTATTGTAATGATTGGGTTAATTCCGGCGAATTAAACGCGGAATGAATACTCTGATTTAAAAAGGGGTCTGGGACTAAATCCCCCAGAACAAAATCTCCCATACTTCAACTTCTCATCCAGGGAATGAAAAGTATATGTTTGAGGCATTAATTGAGTTTCCGATTGAGCTATTTCAACTCAACGTCCATATGAGCTAAGGCATGCGTCGCCATTCTAACAGGACTTTATAAAAACTTTAAAAAACCAACTTTCCTTTGACTAAAGACAAGAGAGCGCTTCTATCGCAAAAATAAGAAGACACGTGGCAAAGTCAGTAAGTCAAATGAAATTAAATTAAGCTGAGCCATTCGGCTAGAGATCAAATCTCAAATATGCCATTTTGAACAACATGTGTTGAATTTAACCCCCATGGGACAAAAATCCCGCTCTTCCACTGGAATGGGGTGCGGCATATTGTGAAAGGGAGTCCCTGACTCCTAGAAAACTACCCTTTTTTACGTTTCAAATTTGAGACTTCTAGGACTATGAATGTTGATTTGAGGGTGTACTAAACTTTCGAACTTAATTTCACAGTAAATTCGCTAACTTACTAAATATTAACACATCAAATAGTCCGAGCAGTATAATTTACTTGACAGGCGTATACCAGTTTGTGTAGACTCATTTAAATCCCCATCTAGCAATTAAGCATTTGCCTCCGGACGCAAAGTTCGTTCATTTTGATTTTGTAGAACACGTGCAAAAAGTTAAGTTAAATTTATTTTGAGTAACAAAGGGGGACAAAAAGCTATATACAACAATTGCGCATATAATAAAACACGAGAGTTAACCAACTCAATTCAAAGGGAAAGCGAACAATGGAGATCAAACCAGCAATGCAAAACCAATCTTTGGACATCAAAGGAAGTTAGTGAACCGATAAGCACGGACCGATTACGTACTAACGAAAACATATGCAATCAATGCGAAAGAAAAACAGGAGCGGAGACCTGCGCAGACGCCTTCGCGCAGAAAGCACTTTCTTCAGCCTTAGTACACGCGACACCTGAATGTTCCTCAAAGATGCCAGTAGTTCCCAACATCAAAAAGAGACTCAGAAGAATTCGCCATGAAAACAGATGCCACCCACCAATCTCAAATGGTCTGCATTTTGATTTACAAGTGAAGGATATGCAGACACTAAAAGATAGTGATCCGGGAAGCGGAAAGCAATACTTGAAGGCTATTTACAGTGAGATCGTTCAATTCGCTTATGCTGTTCAATATCGAGAGGACTAAGAATTCAACTGGTCCATACGCCTCTTGTCTTTTTTACTTGTTTTGCGCTGCCACTGCATGCAGAGGAGTAGCACAAAACGTGATCCAGAGCTACCAGATCACAGAGGACATCAAAAACTACTTAGAGGATACTTTTGTCGGAAACGAAAGCCGAAATGCATTACGCAGGAAGGCCAGATTCCACAAAGACATGTAGAACACGCACAATTGACGACCAGCTGAGAACAAATAACACTCGAAAAATTTCACAGCGGATTTGAGTCGATGTTACAGATGTCAAACCCAGATATCTGGAAGCTCATCGAAGCCATCCAAAGACAACAAAGCTTGCAGACCTTTACTTTGTCGCAGTTACAGTGGGAAAGAAAGTTCACAGGAGGAAGGAATATAACTTCGAGCGTATGTAACGCGTAGTATATTCAGCGACCAGTTACCAGGCGATTGACTATTTAAAAGCTATCGCTGTTAATTCGACTTTTCAAGTTAGTTCTATTTATGGTTTAGTTGCTTAAGCTTCTATTTTAATCTTCTATTAATGGTGACCAAGATTAATTTAGTTTTCTGAGTTGCTTTTTTGCCTAACAGTAATTTGGGGGATATTAAAAAAACCAATACTGGGGATTTTGTCCTATGGGGGACTTTGTCCTGCGCATTATATCCTATGTGATTTTATCCGGGGGGGGGGGGTTATATACAGGGGATTTAGTCCGTGAGCGATAATCACTGAATCGGCGCGTAGCTAAGATTTTTCAAAGTTGGAGAGGGAGCGAAATTTCATAACATCTACGAAACTTTGTTGACCTTTTTATGTAGATCAAAAAATCTTACTGCTCTACATCACTGCCTAAAAGACCACTTTAAGCAACAATGTCTGCGCTGCAATCAAATATCCTTCCGAAATTGGGCCCAAGAATCGAGTCCCTTCTGGGCACTTACTCAAATGGGTGATATATTAAAATAGGTAGTAGGTTCAATTTAAATGGTTGGATCGCTTTTTGTTATACTTCGCATATTTTTTTATAATTTATTTCGGAGCCAAACTTGTTTTTCAAAGCCAAATTTACAAAAACTATCTGAGTAGTAGTACAATTGATTGAAAATGAATGACTATATCATGCATTATAGTTCTCAAATTTAATACATGCACTATACTCAAAATTACCACCTATTGTAACATATCACCCTCAAATGCATGTATAACAGAGCGAATTTATGAAAGAAGCACTTGTTTAAAACATCTTTCGAAATTCAGTCAAAAATATCGTTTCAAGTTAAGGTTTTTGGAAGCACTTTTATATATTAGATTAAGACAACAGTGTGCCCCTATAGTTAAGATGATTACCTATGAGTAGTTTCCAAAGGGGTATGCTGAGTGCACCACTGATGACTAGAGCGAGCATGGCCACTGTGAAGATACTCTCTTTGTCGATGACATACTTGAAGTACAACAGCAGACAGCCCTGGGTGATGTTCACCGCCACATAGCCCGCTAAACAAACAGACAATCATACTAATTTATTCCTCCTATTTAATTATAATGATAATAAATTGTTACCAAACCAATTAAAGACACAAAATTGAGTGCAGCTAATTAACAAAAATATAGGTTTTAAGAGGGCATACTAAAGATTTCTAACGAATTCTGCCGATACTCGAAAGAGATTTCTCAAGCAAACACATTTTTTCTCCAAGATAATAACTGATGACAACAACTGATAAAAGAGACAACAGACAGTTGGAAAAGAGTGAATGAACGCAATTACATTTTAAAATTTTGTTTTTCAAAAAAATAGATGACTTTAACGGTCTTCGAGTTTCTAGAACAATTTATGATTGACCTTTTTTGATAATATTAACACACTTTGAAAAAAACTGGATCAATAGATTTAAAAAAAATTCGCTGGGAAAGTCGATAAGTAAATTCCACTTTCGAAACTAGAAGTCGATCGCGTTTTTCGTGACTTCTTAACTTTCGCAGTTCGATAGTGGAATTTGCCTTATTTTTAACAAAAAATGAACTGAACTTAAAAACCAACCAAAAGTCGAACGCATAAAAAGCATTGCAAGATAGCGAATAGAAAATGGTAGAGAAACCATAAATAAGGAAAAAAATATTCGAAACATATATATTTAAAAAGTTAAAAATTACATCTATGAAACATGTATGAAAAGATATTTTCAACAGCTGACAACACTTGGGTAGCTGAAGTTTGAAGTTTAGCCGAAAACAAACTTGCCAAAAAATTTATTTTAACTATTATATGTTAAAACTCCAAGAAACGCAACCCCTTCCGAAACAAAGCAAAAAAATGCACTTCCAAAAAGGAAATTTCAGGTGACTATTCCGATTTAAAAAATAGGCCGACGCTATTGATTTGAAAAGACAAAAACATAAATTCTTAATCAGGTTTGGTAAACTTAAAAGTAACAAAACGACAATCAATGAAAGTGGAAGTTGTTAAATTATAGGAGAATTCCATGCTTTGAACATTACGATATAGTAAAATACAATTGAATTGAACCTAAAAAGAAATCAAAAGTCAAATATCAAAAGTCAAACCGCAAAAAAATCTGCTTCCCCAGCTCAAGCTTTGAAAAAGACAAAGAGTAATGGTAAAACAACAAAACAGTAGTATGCCTCGATACTAAAACAACTTGAAAGTAAGAAGTGCGTAAGAATCCGGCTACAAAATTACTAAATTAATGTTATCAACAAGCTTACCTAATTTCACTAAGGAATCATCATTTGAACGAGTCAGAATTTTGATTTATTTGCCGCGATCAAATAATTCACCGTTATGCGTTGCGCAAAATTGACAAGTGCATAAATGCACTGAGCTAAGTTCTTGAGAGCACTGAATTGACCTAGAGAAAAACTTTGCAACGTTTCAATACCTCAGCCTTCAAATTTCGAAGAAAAAATTAGATGATCTCAAACCCTTATGAATTTCAAGAACAATTTATTATTGACAATTTCATGAAAATAACCCAACTTGAGAAAACTGGATCAATACGCAATGATTTTACTTCGCTGGGAAATCTGATAAATAAATTCCACTTTTGAAACTAGAAGCCGATCACATCTTTTGTGACCCTTACACTTTTGCTTTTCGATGGTGGAGTTTGCATTTCTTTGAACAATGAAAAAGCACCGAACATAGGAAATCACAAAACAAACCGCGAAGAGTCAAAATTAAGCGTGAACAAACCAGAATTTTTGCTGAAAAAAAATACGAAGACTAATATAAGAATCTTCACTACGTTCATTACCCTCAAATACAGCAGGCAAACAGTTGTTTAATCAGCCCTACACAATAGTTTTTTCCATTCGTTCCAGAATGCTTGAAACAATACTTGTTTCTTGGTCTGATTTGCAGAGAATTTTCGTCCAGGCTAAGTATTTTGAGCGAAAGCTTCCAAAAATGATGTTTTTTTTTGTAGTGCAAAGGCTAGACCTGTTCAAATGCTTTAACTAAATTGATACATTTCGCACCTCAGCTTTTTTCTTTTTTAGGTTTGCGTTTCAAAAAGCACGGAAAAAACTACTGCATTGTTGAAAGAAACTACTGCGCTGCGTAGGTTGGCTAATTATAGAAATGATGTGGTTTCTTTTTTTAATATCTTCTGATAAATGACCCGACTGAATGCTCATAACAAGCCCGAACTTTATGAAACAGTTATACCGCGTAACGGCTATTGAACTTCAGTGTAACTTTATTTTAATCAAAATATTCAAAAGCAACTGATATCGCGTCCTGATTTTTCTAAGCTCAAATTAGATTTCATAAAATCACTGCATCTATGATTTAAACAGCAATATTCAATCAAAAAGATTCAATTAAAAAAACCAATATCTAGAAGTTTTCTTTTTTGATTTGCCTGTTTAATTTTTTTAACAATACAGTGACGTATTTAGATAGAAAACTGCAAAACAGAGCATTTAAAAAAATTGAGCCATGAGCCTTCTTTGGAGCAGTCAAAATCTGATGAAAGTCCAATAATTTCAGTGACTTGTTTCGGAACCATTACATTACTTGTTTCGGAACAAAACGATAACAGCGAAAAGCAAGAGCCGTTTAGACTATAATCTGAGTGTAATATAGATCCATTATACATTTTATCAGACATAGCATCCTGATATTTTAGGAGCAATTGAAGAAAAAATCACAAAAACTCCAAAAAAGTCCAACAAACATCCAGCTGGGTTTAAACTTTGATCTGAAGCATGAGTTGGCCCTTTGCAGAAAAGCACAACTTTCAAAAAATACCACAAGCTGTTTTTTTTTTACTTTTAACTGAAATGCATGTGAAAATCATTATTTACCAATTATTTTTATCTTCAAATTAAAATTCTACCCGATATAATTAACTTATTGTTGGATACTTTTCACTTACCCTCTTACGATTGAATTGCTTTCATTTTATTTTGAATAATTGAATCAACAAATTTCACTACCCATAGCAATGATTTCCCTAATAATAATTTTTGGATGATTTAACGTTTAAGAGCTCTGTTTTCCTCTCAAAATGGATTCGAAATGAATGAAAAAACTCCAGGGAAGAGTTTGCATAAAAGCGAGATGACTTCAGATCTAAGTGTTAGTGCGTAAAACTTTGAAAAAAATGCTTTTACGTACTAAACAGAAGCTGATATAGAAGGGACTCTTTCCATTTCTGGGAATTGACACCCTCGCCAGTCCCTTTGAAACTACTTTACGACCAACCAACCCTAGAAACTATCTAAAGGCTACTCGGCTGCCCTTTGATCTGAAGCATGGGTTGGGCCTTTGCAGAAAAGCACAATTTTCAAAAAATACCACAAGCTGTTTCTTTTTACTTTTAACTGAAATGCATGTGGAAGTCATTATTTACCAATTATTTTTATCTTCAAATAAAAATTCTACCCGATATAATTATTAAATGAGGGTGGAAAAATTGGTCATTTAAAACCAAAAAAGTTCGAGCAAAAAATACGGGGCAAAATACCTCTTTTTTTGTATTTCAGGAGATCTCGGAAAATTAATTTAGTCAACCTAAAAAACGAAGACCAACATTTTTTAAAAACCAACCCAACCCAACCCACCCCACCCCACCCCATCCCCCTCAAGAAAACCTAGATCCACTCCTTGTACTAAACGAATGTTTGAATTCACTTACCAGCTGGAGTGAAAAGTTATACAATTTTAATAAACTATAAACTGCCTGGAGGGGTCATTGAAGAGTATTTCAACTCAACGAGCAATGACCCTGGGTAATGCTGCGAGAGAGCAATTGTGAGGGACATGAACTGTTTGGAGCTGAAAGCCAAAAATATTTTACATGTAGCTTCTATTGAACAAATTTTTTCAAGCAAGAGTCACACCGCTAACTTTCTCCTTAATGTTTTTTTTTGTTTATGAAAACCGTTTTCTCAATATATCAAAACTAATTGATCTTAATTCTAGCTCCTAAAACCCAAGAAACAGCCATAAGCTAATCAACAAACAAGGAAACATACAGCTGGAAACGATTCATTAAAACAAATCTCATTAAATCTCAACTTCCAAAAATTATTGACAAATATAGATGTCCTTAAAGCGCATTGATTTTCTAGAATAATTTATGATTGATATTTTTGATAAAATGAACCCAATTTGAGAATACTGGATCAACAGGTAATTTTTTTCCTTTGAAAAATCCGAAAATCAAAATCCACTTTCGACACTAGAAGTTAATTGCGTTTTTCGTGGCCTTTACTCTTGTGCTGTTGGATAGAAGAGTTTGGCTTCCTTTTACAAAGGATATAAATTGAACTTAAAAATAGATCAAAATCCAAAACGTCGGAAAAACAAATTTGAGCCTGAACAAATTTTAAGATTTTTTCTGAAAAAAACCATGACCATTACAAGAGTCTGAACTACGATCATCGAGTGTTAAAACAAAAAAATGGAACTCAAAATCAGAGTTGCTAAAATAAAAAATTACAGATGAACTCAAAATTATACAAAAAAACGTTCACATCTGAAAAAAAAACTATTATTTGGAATTGAAGAAGACAAACGAAAGTCCGTCAATTGAAGTTTTGCCACAAAAAAAACATTCGGACATGTATTGATTCGAAAAAAAACCAATTCCCACCGGGATTCCAATTTCAAGCATTCGGCTCCAAATGCATGCGCATTGCAAATAGACAACAGGGTAATGAGCATGGAACTTATTGAAACCAGCGTGTAACGCACCTCCGGTACTCGAAATAAACCGCATATATTGGAAATGAAATCTGCATTCTTTGAGTGTACTCTGACAGCACCCAATTACAAGGTTCGTAATTACAAATTTTGCAAAGTTTTTTATTCAAGTTTTTTTTGTACAAATTTAGGAGAACCATAAAATTTTGTAAAGTTTTATCTGAGTTCTTCGAAAAAATTAAAATGAACTGAGAAACGTGATATATGGGAAAGTAAAAGCAATTGAACAGTCGCATTTGGACGCAAGATTTGCAACTTTTGA